GGATTTCTGGTTTCTGATCCCTGCTTTGAGGCAAGAGGGACGCTTGGCTTTGAAGAGGTTATTTCTTCAAGATGCAGAGGTGGGAAGGAGGTGGAAGGACTGCTTGGCCAACTCTGCCGTCGTTGGTGTGTTCTAGCCTGACGATCATCTGTGCTGGAGAATACTCTGCTGTGTTGCCTCTTTGCTATGACAACCGTGCTTCTGATGAGGAATGGGGGGCTCTGTGTTCCCGCAGTGCAACTGCACTGTGCAGTCAGGGTACTGTCCCCATTCCCTGCTGCCATGGGGCTTCCTAACTGCTTTGGTTCATGCTCCTGAGTTTTCTTGGTTATGTAGCCCACGGAAGGAAGAGCAAAGGAAGTTCAGAAAACAGACAAGCCCACAACAAACTCAAATACATCTCTAGGCTTTGATGACTTTTAGACATTTATATCCAGTGTCAGGAGCTTGCCAGTCTCTTTCCTACTCTCTCGTACACGATATGCCAACTTCTCAGCAGGAGGTTTTCAACACATCTCTTTTAGGCTCAAACACCTATGAAAGCTGCCTATCAGGCCTAAATTCCTCATCCTTGCATTTGAGGCCATTTAACCAACTTCCGTTGCCCTGACTTTTCCAAGCAGAGGCCTCCCCATTCTCTGTTAGCCATGTTAAATACTCAGGAACCTGAGCATATNATACTCAAACCTAAGCATATACGTTCTTTTTTACAGGCAAAAGGAAAGAAACCATTATTTGTACAGTTGATCCTGGAAAATATATGGAGTTTGTATGATGCTGTCTTTTAAATGCCGTCTTTTAAAGGTTAATCTGCCCACTATCCTCAGAACATGATTTAGCTCCATGTCCTTGTTCATGCTGGGGCCCTCGTAGAAACTACTTGACTCCTCTCCCAAGCGCTGCTTTCATCTCTTTTGAAATAAAGTTGAAATAGATCTATTCCAGGGAGCTTGTTCTAACCACAGCAAAACCATGCTTCCCCTGCTGTGCAGTCCCTCATCATTTGTGGATTCACATGCTTCTGCTATGTATCCTGCTGCTCCTCAGGTAGGCAGAATTCTCCAATGCCACCCTCTCCTTCAAGATTCCTGGCTATTGATGTACACACACCTTCTTTCGGTTACTCAATCAGGCACTAATCTAGACTCTGCTGTGAAGGAATTTTGCAGATGTAATTAAGACCCCAAATCAGATGATTTAAATTTTTCTATTGATTTCAGAGAGAGGAAGGGAGAGGGAGAGAGAGATAGAAACATCAATGGTGAGAGAGTCATTGATCGGCCGCCTCCTGCACACCTCCACTGGGGACTGAGCCCACAACCCCGGGCATGTGCCCTGACCAGGAATCCAATGGCGACCTCCTGGTTTATAAGTCGACACTCAACCACTGAGCCATGCCAGCCAGGCTCAGATCATTTTAAGAGAGGAGCTTATCCGGGGTGAGCCTGACCTAATCAGATAAACCTTTAAAGTGAACTGGGCTCTTTCTGAAGAAAGACATTCAGAGTGTGAGAGATTTGATGGGAGAAAAATTCTCTGTTGACTTTGAAGATGGAATAGGCCACATGGCAAGCAATGTGGGAGACCTCTAGGAGCTGAGAATGGTCCTTGGCTGGCAGGCAGTGAGAAAATGGAGGCCTTAGTTTTCTAGCCGCAAAGAACTGAACTTGGCCAACAGCTTGTGGTAATTTGTTAAGCAGCAGTAGGAAACGAATGCCTTTGCTTTTGTAGATCTTGCTTTTGTTGATTTCATATGTGTGTATTAGTCCAAGTTTCTAGATGAGAGGGAGAGGATTTTAAAATTTATTTTTATATCTCCTTCACAGCACAGATACAATGTGAGGTTATGGGGAGACTTGCCTTAACTGATATTTTGGAGTTAATGGGAGATATAAATCCTTGGCATGAAAGGTACCTGTTGTTAAGTAGCAGCTCGAATTACTACCATTGTCAAGTACTTCCCATGTTAGAAACAAATCTCTGCACATCTGATATCTCGTGGACATCTTCATGTGTATGTCTCATCATTCCCATGAATTCAGTAAGTCCCCAAATTCCCTCTCCCAAAAGTACCCCTCCCCCGTCTATTTTCAAATTGTGTTTGTGGCACCTTCAAACCTCCAGTTGCCTTTGGGCTTAGAACTGCAGCCATTGTTGACTCTCCCTCTGTCTTTCCCCAAGTCACTCTGGTGCCATGTCCTTTCCATTCTTCCCCTCCTTTCCATTTTTATTGTCACTGCCTTTTCAGTATCTCTTACCTAGAATGCTTCATGAATGTCCTAGCTGTTCTCCTGGGGCCAATCTTTGATTAGCACAATTGTAATCAAGTCACTTCTCTGCTCATCCGCTTTCCAAGAAATCCATTAGTTTGGCATTCAAAACTCTCCAGGACCTAACCCAGGCTTAATTTTCTCATATTTTAAAACATTCTTTTAAAATAAAAATTTAAAAAAAAAGTGTTTATATGTATTGATTTGAAAGGGGCGAAGAGAGAGAGAGAAGAAACATCGATTTGTCATTCCACTCATTTATGCATTCATTAGTTGCTTCTTGTATGTGCCCCGACGGGAGATCGAACAGGCAACGTTAGCATATGGGGACGACGCTCTAACCTACTGAGCTACCCGGCCAGGGCCTCACAAATTCCTAAATGAGTATTTTGCCTACCTTCTAAGTTATTTGGGGTTGACCTTTAAAATGTTTTCTTTAAAACTGTTACTGCTTTTGCAGGTCCGCATCCTGTGACTCTTCCCTGCAACCTGCAGCTTTTTCACGCATCTTCCCATCACCGTTAGTCCAGGCCCGCTGCCCTCGCAGGTCTCCGCAGCCGGACATTCTCAGGCCTTGGATTCTCCTGAACATATAGCAGCCGCTTGGCTCGTTGAACTGCCCAGGGAAAATGTGGTTCCAGAACCAAATTGTGAGTGCCCAGAGCTGAAACCTCACTCTTGCCTTAAAGCTCTCATTCGTTTTCTCCAGGACACACACCAGCACCTCATTCTGCTTTGGGGTGATCCTTGGCCTAAGTGTTGGGACCCAAACCCATCCCATTCATCCCACAGAAAAGGGACCCACAGCGCCCTGTCATAGTGGAGGCCGATTTCCTCTTGTTAACGGGTCACACGCAGCCCCTGCCCAGTGTCCTGTGTCCCCAGAGGATGTGCAGGCATTGTTCCCGCTTTCCGAGGACCTTTGGAGCTGGCTCCGCCCAGTCCTCCCCCCAGCCACCCGGCGCACTTTAAGTGATCTGGTCTTTATAAAAAGAAAGAAGGAAAGAAAAAGAAAAAGAAAAAGAAAAAAGAAAGAAAAAAAAACCACGAAGAAAAAGCTTCCCAGGATTCTCTTAGACTTGACAGGTGGGGATGGAGCCCATGCCGCCACCCGATCCCGGTGAACTGCAGCCTTCGGTCCCAGCTTCCGACTGCCTGGGCCCGCGTGGCTTGGGCTGGGCTTTAATGACCTAAGCAACTTTCCTTGCTCCCCCCCCCGGTATTGGTACAGCCTGTCCGGCCCTCAGCGTTCAACGTCCCCCCCCCCTCCTTCCAGGTTGGTTCAGCCCCTGTCTACTCTGGGGTGGTGCTTAGCCGGCGCCAGACCGACCCTCGACTCCGTAGGGGCAGTGCGGTGCC